AAAGGACTCAAACCCTCGCTTGTTAAAGAGGTCGCGTAACGTGTCGTACTATGCCCGCGCGGCCTGTTTGGTACCATATTTAGCGCGTTGCAGTAAACATTCCAAATTTGACTCAGATACGTCTTCATAGCCATCTGGCTGACGCATGAATTCTTCTTCATCCATGCGGCCGTAAAGAACGCGGTGTCGTCATCAAACTACTGCATTTTGTAATCTAGCTGCGCCACCATTACAAGCATGCATCGGATCGTGTCTATGCGTGCGACAGGTGTAAAGGTCTCGTGATAGTCCCACCTGGTCATTGCGTGAAACCTTGTGCAACCAACCAGGCCTTGTAGCGATTAACAGTCCCGTCCGCGTTACGTTTTAGCTTGAACAACCAGCGGCATCCAATAGGTTTCTTTTTAGTCGGTAGCTGCACTAGCCGCCACGTCCCGTGGCTTCGCAGAGATCTCTGCTTCCATCGCTTGCTGCCACTGACTGCAATTTGGTGAGGGTAGAATCTCTTTGTAAAATGTGCCGCTCTCGTCAGCTGTTTCAGCGACCAGACAAAATAGCGCAGCGTGTGTAGCTTCGTAGTCGTCCAGTTGAAATGGTCGCTGGAATTCATCCTGGTAGCACACCACCTCACGACGCTCACAGACAGGCCGGATGTTGGATTCATCTTCTCCATCATGACCAGGTGTTGATGACAGCTACGTTAAGACCGGTATGACTGACAATGTGGCGTTCATTGCACAATCGTACTGTTTTATGATAGCCCCATCAAAGCATCCGGATTGCTATGTGGCTCTGCCAGAAGCGAACCAGCTGACCATGGTCATCATCATTGTTGGTTCGAGCCTTGCACGATGATAATTTAGTATGTGGGGCCACATCGATAGCATGCGGCATAGCTGTTGTTAGACACGATTGCGTGTCTTCAATATTTTTGCAACTGGTAATCCCGGCTGTCTTCTCAAATGTAACCGACCAAGAAATCATAATCTTTCCTGTTGCCGGATTTAGCAGTCGGTATCCCTTCTGTTTTGAGATATTCCCAGAGAGAAACATTTCACAGCTGTGTCTTCAAGCTTGCTGCGCTTCGACTTGTGCACGAGCGCATACGCTACGCATCCAAAAATTCGCATCCGCTCGTACTGAGGCCGTCGCTTGTACAGCTGTTCATAGGGGGATTTGATCTGACCAGCTGATAGGATAGTATTGCGAACATCTGCAGCAGTCACCACCTCTTCAACCCAGTATTGTTTTCCAAGTCCACTTTCTTTTAGCATGCAGCGCGCCATCTCGACCAAAGTGCGGTTGAGGCGCTCACTCATTCCATTTTGCTTCGGGTTGTACGGAACCGTGAGCTGCTGTGCTACTCCAGTTTTCTCACAGTACATTTGCAAATCATTGCTGGTATACTCGCCGCCGTTGTCACTTCGTAAAATATTAACACATGTGCCTGACGATGCCTCGATGTAGGTCCGAAAGCTGATGAAGTGCTGTAAGACTTCGGGCTTGGCACGCATTGGATAAACCATCGAGAAACGCGCCGACATCACAGTGAACGTGACGAAGTAGCGAGAGCCTGACACAGACGATGGGGTGATCGGCC